TATGTACTGGAAACGTTAACCACGCGTGTATTATATGTATTTAGTTTTAAGTATAGTTAGCTTGGTTTAACAAGTTTTACTGGGTAAAAAGATATTTCTTTCGTATACTGCTGCAATTGCTATGTCGGTATCCTTGTAATACGTTTCAAATAAACTTTCAAAAGACATGAATGTTGTACCACCGACGAATACATAAGATGATGTTTACTTATAGTAAATTGACAAAGTAAGTTTCATTGTCTCGAAAACTAAATTTTAAATCTAAAATTACTAAAATTAAGCAACGTTTGTCGTATGACCCTAATTCCTTTCATCTAAACACATTAAACACTTACGGTAAGAAAATTAAAGAAACAAATAAGTAGTGCAAATATTTCTTTCTGATAGCTCAAGTTCATAAAAATAATACAGAAAAAATAAGCGTGACATGAAATCTTTTGAATCATATGTTATTACATCCCAAAGCGTGCCAGTGTTTTCATGATATCAAACAACATAAAAAATAGAGCACATTTTCAACGACTCTTCTTTCCCATCAAGATTATTGACAAAGCAAGAACCGCCAGTTAGATGCATACGTTTATTATACATAGGTTTCACACATCTTTACGAAAACTTAAAATTGCGAACAGAAACCTTCAAGTGAGGTATTTATTTTTCTTCCAATACTTTTAAAGCAAGGACGACGTGGGGATTTAGGCACGAGGCGGGAACAGGAAAATAAATAGACGTCGTTTGAATTGCTACAATGTTTATTCCGTTGTGAAACGTTGCACGTAGAATTGTCTGAGGTGAAATGTTTATGTCCCGTTTCTTTAACGACTAGAAAGGATTTTCGGTGCAATTTTTGATGTTGTGAACGGTTTGATAGTATGTTGTTAAAAGGAGAAGCGTGTTCTTGAAGTGTCATTCTCGCTTAACTTCATATCGCTATGTTTTTGTGTGTTATGGGGGTTGTTGCAAAGTTTTAAAATTTGAAAACAGTTACAATATTTCATGTTGAGTTGCAAAAAACAACAAATCCAGCAATCACGGTTTTTTAAAGTTTTATTAGTCCAAAGGGGCTTTATGCTTGAATGACTATTGTTTTCGCTTTGGCATTTTGCGTTCAAATCTGTAATCTGCTGTATCACTTTTCAAACTGGTGTTGCCACCAAATATTATCGCCCTGTATTATATTTGAAGAAATTAAATAATGAAGAATCTGCATAAATGTATCTATGTTTCTCGCATTGTGATGAAACAACGGTACCTAGAGCCATCGAATTTTGAATGACGTAATCCTACTGCGAATATGAGCATGTGAAAGCCCAAATTTGAAATTTGGAATTTGTTTTACTATCGATTTCATATTTTGTAAAACTTTAACGAATTTTTTGTCATCAAACTCGAGGATTTCAAAGCGAGCGATGGCAGCGTTGTACAGAAAAAACATTTTTATTTCCAACGCCTGAGACTGTATATCGGAATATCTAAAAATATGCTCATTTTAAAATTATTTTACGATATTTCTGTTGAACTCAACTTTATGGTTTAAATGCGAAGAACTTGATATTTAATAAATAAAGGTAACACAAAAAATGTTGGAAAAAACCTCCCCTTTGGACGTAATTTAAAATCTGCAACGTTTGAGATTTTCTTAACTCTTTATTTATTTAAATTCCTTTAATTCTGTTTACCAATAAATAAAGTATAACATACCTCGGATATCCATCGGGAATTTCAAAGCACAGAAATGAAATGTCGGATTAAGCTTATTTAAAATTAATAAGACAATGTCGAAACTTTGTTACAATGTTGGAATTCTAAGTTTTCTGAATCAGTTTGGAGCAATGGAGCAGTCTTACTTTCCTTTCGTAGCAAATAATCGGACTGTTCAGTTGTTGAAACTGATTAGAAAAGATATTTGCGAAACTAATCCAATTTCTACATCATTTCGTTTTAAAAATCAATAATGTTTTTAGAATTTCAACTATATTTATTTTGAACATATGTATGCAAAATGAGCATGAAAGCGATTGGAGTATGAAGTACTTGTATGATAGAAACTGACGTATAATTGGAAGAGAAATATATTAAATGTAAAACTTAAAATTAGGAAATGTGATCCTTTTAATTGGCGTAGATTTTCAATTAAACTCTTTTGATTCAGAAGAAAAAATATTTTTTAAATAATAGGCAACTCTAACAGATCATTCGCGATATTTTTATTCACAAATATATGCCAAGTCAGTATGTTATGTTTTCTTATCTTGAATAAAAGTTAATATATAAAACAACTACTAAAGCTGTTTGTACATTTTTTAGGCGATTTTCATTGTATTTTCAGAACTATTTTACCTAAACTTTTGTCTTTTAAATGTTCCATTTGATAACTCTTATTGTTCATTATCTTTCTACATCGTAAATTCTAAAACAATACGCTTTTTTTAGTAGCGGAAAGCTATTTTATTCCATTCCTCCTTGAACATCTTTCCAAAGTCCAAGGAGGGTTGTAATTTAACCTATTGATTGGCACTGTCCGTAATGAGAAGGTATTTCATATTTAAAAATTGGGTATAAAATATGTTTCTGATAATATGCGGATTTTATCATGACATTCTTCGCCACCTTCTTTATTTTTAATTTGCCATCACATGAAAAACCAGCAACAATCATAAATCCCACAGAAAAACTTTCTTTAGATTCCATGAAACAAGTTTCAAGATTTTTTCTCCTGTTTGATGATAATAAATGGATCTTATTTTATTGCAGTCCTTTAAGTGCACCCAAGATTCATAAACTGTGACAACATTTTTACGCTTTTGTCCGAATAATTGTTTCTCATAGAGAATTCTGTCGCGCGTCCTCCTTTCGGCGACATGTCGGGGAGCTAGAAGATGCATATTATGTTTTTTTTACATTTAATTATCATTCAAATCAGCATTAATCACTTTGTTTACAGCTGACACTGAGCTTTTACTGTTTATGAAACTGTACTTTGAATTCGAAGATTTTCTTTTAATATTCAAGATCTTACCTTTTCAACATTCGAAACATTACTTTTTTCCTTAAATATGTATTTTGAACATTGTTTCTTCTTGAAGCCAAACTTGTTTGCTTTTTTTTCTCCTTTCTTACTGATGATATTATCTGTCGTAGCTTGAGATACTGAAAAATTATGGCTTTCAGAGCACTTTTAATAATTAAATACGAATAATTGTCTTCAGAAAGAACATAAACATAGCCTTCCGTTCATTGCTTCTTTAAAATTATAAGATATTTCCCCCTTCTTCCTAGCGTACCTTCGTGGTGTGGTGGTACCCTTCGTGGGTTGGTATTCCAGAGGCCGTGGTTCGATTCCCGGCGAAGGCGTTGCATATTTTTCAATCTCTCTTAATTCCAAAAAATCCTAATGTCTCTACAAAAGCACTATTTTGCATGAAAACAAAATTTTCAAATAGGAGAAGATAATTCACATTTTCAAAAATACAGTTGCAGTTCAAAATTATTTCAAAGCAGGCGATTGTTTTATAGGAAAGCAGTAAATAAAAAAATAAGAAATAAATTTATGTATTTACAGTAAAATATACGCGAATAGTCGGTGGATATTTGAGATCAGAAAAATACACCATTTCTTTATTCTGGGTTAAACAGATTTTGCTTTATGACTGAAATTTCCTGCCTATATATCACTTTTATAGAATGCATTTCTTTATCTGCTTCAGTAATCTAGTATATGTGTAACAGCAAATAAGTTGCATATGTATCGTTCCTGAATTTTTGAAGATATAATGGTCGAAAGGAGTTCACTTGATAATTACTTATCTGAAATTTAATGTACATGAGTTAATTGTAATATGTATATTACTGATTTAATGTACAGTAAATTTTTTACGAACGCTGATTTTGCAAAACTCGACTCCACATATAAGCTTTACTTTAATTTTTTGCATTTAATTCGCTCAGGGCTAGAATTTCATTTGTACGCGGTTTAATGTTGTTCACTTTCAAATTGTTGCCACGCGTTGTTTTACTTTTCAGATTTTGCCACATAATGTAATCGCCCTGTATTATTTTTGAAGAAATTAAATAATGAAGAATCTGCATAAATGTATCTATGTATGCATAAATGTATGTAACATATTATTCAATTCATCACCAACTTTCTTAAATATCGAACGCATTTTAGTACCCATAGAAGATGAATATAGATAATCAGTACAAACGTGCTGTGCTACATTTTTAATTTTCCTGTGGTGAATCTGCCAAGTTTGCATCGATAAAAATTAATAGTGTACATGGTGAACACACTATTAGTGTAAGGACTGCACAGAAATGGTTTAAAAATTTTAAAGTTGGAAAAAGCAGCATGGATGAGGAACAACGTTTCAAACTGTTAGAACCAAATCAAATCATTCATTCAGAAGTTTATAGTAAACAACTTTGTCGTCTAAACTCAGAATTGATCAAAAAGCGCCCACGATTGGTGAATATCAAGAAAGTGTTGTTTCATTATGATAACGCTATACCGCATACGGCTCGAACAACGCTGCAAAAAATTAGTGAATTTAATTGGAAGCTTTTGCTACATCCTGCTTACTCCCCAGATATTGCCCCAAGTGATTTTCACTTATTTCGTGCCTTATAATTTTTTTTTTTTTTTTTTACTGGGAAAACATTTAATTGTAAACAGGATGTACACAATGAACTTTCAAGTTTTTTTGCAGTAAAACGAGAGTCTTTCTACAGCAATGGCATAAAAAAGCTGCCTGTAAGATGGCGAGACATTGTAGATAATGGAGAAAAATATATAATTGATTAAAATGCTAAATTGTGTTTTTTTATATTATTTGAAAATTTACCAAAAAATGCGCACGAATTTATGGACTGACCCAATAGTTACAGGATGGCAAGAAAGGTTTTCCTCAGAATAGAATATGATAGATGTTTTTATATTCTTATATATTCCAATTATTATTTTTGTGATAATCAATTGTATGTTATTTTTCTTCTAATAGATGACGTCATATGTACCTGCTGTAGCAGTAGCAATCACAGTGACCCTAGTCGTCATAATAGTGGGTTCCCATCCAATCGATGCCCATTCGGAGCCCTGTTCCTTCAATCCTCTCTGCACTTGTTCCAACTCCCACCGTGATGTTAGTTGCATTGGTGTTCCTTTTGCCGAGGTTCCGACACTTCCTCTAGATGATATAGTCCAACTTACTCTATTGAAGGCTGGCGTAGAGGTCCTACATGACCACTCATTCCAGGTAAAAGAATAAAATATTTTAAACTTTGCAAAATTTTATAAAGCCTCTCTCTTTTTTTAAGATATTGTTTTTTACTTCTCTTCATGCATTAAATTAATTTATTTCAAATTATGTTTAAAACTTTTATAAAGTTAAGTTTTTTTAGATAAACTTTTTTCTCTTGTTGAATAACAAAATGGCAAAGCAATGTAAGTTAACCACTGTTAATATGGGATTAAGCTAAGATTGATCTGAAACTTAGATATTTTCTTCGAAACATTTTTAAATATTGGAAAAAAAATAAGGATTTGAAATTTTTTTTTGAATGGTTTGTTTCTAGATCATTGCATATCACATGAATCGTCCATTACCATTCCTTTATTATCCTTTTATAGAATAAAGAAATAGAAAATTAGTTCAGTTTTTCTAAACTGATTTTCTTTAGTTCCAATAAGTCTTTTTCCACATGGATACTCATATCGGGATGTCAGAGAACTAAATGCAACATAATAGTTTCCCAGCAGCTTCCAATACAACTGTAAAATATTGTTTTCATGAAATACTTTTTCTTTTCGGTGTGATCGTCATCACGGCTAACAGATGAAGGAATTAAAGCTAAATAGTATGTTTTCTGTCTAGATTCTCAATTCTCGCAATGAGTTCATGAGATTTTGCATATTGCCGTAGCGGCGCTAATGCGTTTATTATTCATAGTATGCATATTCTGTACATTGTTAAGATTTTTGAATTATATCATAGTATATTTTTTCAAGAAAAATTCTTCGGAGTTTCAAGTAAAGTATCAGTTCTGGTTTAGCAGTTTTAGCCGAAATCTAATATAATGTTTCCATTGACATAAGAATCTTAAATACTACATTCGAAAAGTGTTGGAATTTATTTTAGTTTAGCTTTCAGTTAAAACGCTTATGGGCTTTAAGTAAAGAAACATTTGTCCAGTTTTACCCCAAATTTACTGAACTCTTTATACGAATGCAGAAAATTAAATATGAGAAATAGAAATGGTCGAAAAAAGCGTCACACACAGACAGACAAATATCATTATGAAAACAGTAAAAAAACGTGTTGATGGGAGACGGTTTCGTGCACATTAATTAAAATTAACAATCGAATTTTAGGACCGAAAACATAACCTCACTTACCTATCTATATATCTTGATGGCGGGTGAAATAATCATGCAGTTTAAGAGAAAGGCATAAGTGAAACAAGCCGACAATTACATTTTAAATGAGAAAAGCCATGAAAACCATCTCCAACTAGTCCGTTTAAAAGCCCCAAATAGAATCATTAGTAAACTATCAATGGCTTTATCTACTCACTCCCTAATCAGCCTCAGTACTGGAGGATATTTTTTAAATGGCGGATATTAAGCATTTTAGGCTTTAGCCACTTCTCGTGTCAGAAGCTGTGGTCATTTTATTATGGAAGCACCCAAAAAAGACGGCCACCGTTACCTCTTATGAAGAGCAGGAGACCACTGGGCGAGCAGCTGTGCCGCCATGAAGATGTTCAGTTTTATTGCTCACTCAGTGGGACCACGTTTATTTAAAATTTTATATTACAATAAAAATTTTGATTTTGATGTACACATAATTATGAAGAGCAGACTTCTATGGGATTTCAATCCGGGTCTTTTGGTACGCAGTCAGAGTCATTAACCACTTTTCCGTGCGGATGCCGTAATGAGCGCCGCCTGAGATAACCACTGACTTGATTTTGTCGTAAAAATCTTGCACTGTTAATAGTCATACTGCAGAAGGGAATATTTCTTCCGTGTAAATATATATATATAAATATTACATGAGCATAGAAGGCCTGTGTATAAGCATAGATATGTTAATTACAAACATTGTCTTGTACAAGTTACATAAAATCATGACAGTTATGTGTGCATTTAAACATTATTTGAATTCATATTTACAATACTTTTACTGAGATAATCAAAGTAAACTTGTAATTCATTTACACATTGACTGGATTTTCAATATCATTTAAACTGCTTTACAATATTTTTTTATCAAGTACATACAAACTGGATAGTAATATGCTTACATTACAGTAGTTTTGCTCTTACAGTCCTGTTACTATTCTACGGGGTGAGCTATTTTTCTAGTGTTGATTTTCAGTAGTTGTAGTATTTTGAATTGCTAATAAAAATATGCTGCGAAGATACAGTTCTCAAGGGAGGGGGAGAATTTCTTAGTACCTTGCTGAGCATAGCCTGATTACCTCCTCTATTTTAGTTTACGTTTGCTTGTTGCCTCAGGTATTCTCCACCCATTGCGGCCAGTATTCACTGCTTGGCATTTTTAAATGCTGTTTATCGGTTTGTGGGCAGTTGAAGAGGAAGTGATCTGCATCACCTACCACACCACACTCACACAATTCTGATGCACGTTTGCCGAATCTCTTAAGATAATGTGGGAAGGGACCATGGCCAGTGTAGAATTGAGTTTGTGCTCCGCTGTATATATTAATTGAGCATGTAACTTCCGGAAAGAACTAGTAGGTTCTCCTCCCTGTGCTTTCCTTTTCCCATCTTTTCTGCCGTACGTGTAAAAGGCTATTGAGCGTTTTTTTTTTAAATAGGACTGTGGAACACTTACTGCGTTTTCCAGTCAACTGGAGTTATTGGCTGCAGATTTCGCAAGCACGTCCACTGCTTCATTGCCAGTAATACCCACATGAGCTAGAACCCAGATCAGGATAGGTCTGATCAGGATAGGTGGGATATTTAGAAGAATTTTCTGAATATCTTGCACCAAAGCACGCCTTGTCTTGTGCCCTCGGATGGACTCCAAACTTGAGGCAGAGTCGCTATATAGGTTGACCTTTATTCCTAATTGATATTTTGCCAAATTGATGGCTGCTTTCAATGCAAGAAGCTCTGCCTGAAAGACGGTATTTTTTTTCTGCCAGTCGTCTTTCCCAAGTTTTAACCACTTCTCCTTCTTGGAGTACACAGTAGGCGCAGCCTGTGCCTGGAAGAGATTACAAAGAGCTGACACATTTATGGAGTCTGACAAATATTGCGCATGAGAATTTTTAAATATCACTGAAAATGAATCACTATGTTCTATGTATAATCTCATAAGATACAGTAAATATCAAAATTCTCTCGAAATTAGTGCTTATTTTACAGTGTCATTTACAGATACGTATATGTTCCTGCTGCCGTTTTCAAATAAGTGTCGTGGATGCATTGTGACAATTCTGCTGCTCTTTCCAAGACTCAAACGTTTTCATTTCATGAAATTTTTATTCTTTTCAGAATACAAGAATATCCTCCTTGAGAATGATGCAAAATCAGCTGTCACATATCCACAGCAAAGCATTTCAGGGAAGTGAATTGGCGCTAACTACTGTAGACCTTAGTTTTAATAAACTTCATAGATTGCCATTAGAAGCTCTGCAGAAGGTACGTACTTTTTTTACCTTGAAATAAAACATGCAACATAAGAATTTAACTGCAGTTTTATGAAATTTCTACATCTGATTCATTTACATTTCACAAACATGTTTTAGGAAACATTATGATATCTGAAATTTTAAATAAGAGAGCTGCATATAATAATTTAATGTTTAATTATTATGTTGTTGGATAACACTAAAGATTTTTGTAACACGGCTTTATCTCAAATCATGACAGAGCAGAACACCTAAAGTACCATATATGTTTAATTCTATTTTCTTGCTTAAACCTTTAGAGATTATTTTAATTTTCAGATAGTTATTTTTAATTTTGAAACCTTTTCCTTTAAATTCTTGTTTTCCACCTTCAACTCCCTGCCAGAATCAGATTTCAGTATTTCAGCATTGAGTATTCAGTATTGAATATTGAGTAAAACGGTATTTTAACTCTTCTTGGACTTATATATTATAATTGTAAGAAGACCAGTGAATAGCCGCTAGTCGCTTCTTTAAGATTCTAGTATCCAAGGACACGTAAATTAACTAGAACTGTATAAACCAAAGAGTTAATTTTAGATCCTTGCATTTGCGGAAAAGGGTACAAAAGGAATTAAAATATTTTTTACGCTTATAAAACACGTGTTATATTTTTTATGAAATAAACCAAACGAGTTCCAAAAGTGCAAATGAGGCTCTAGAAAGAAATTTCCCAGAGGTAAAATAAATTTAAACTACAATTTTAAAACTTTTCAACATTTTTTCATCTTTATAAAGCACTGATGCTTCGTAACTCTTTCCCCAGTTCTAGTTAGCATGAGTCAGAGATGTGATAAATCCAACTTTACTTTCTTTATATATATTATATATTTTACGTTCATAATTTGCTATTTTTACTAACTTACGTTACCATAAGAATTACCATTTTTATTTCACAAGTTTGAACAAATGTGCAAGAAATTAAAAATAATTAAAAAGAAAAATCAGTTACATAACATTTTGTTTAAAGAAGTTAGCAAATATATAGATATTTATTGCATAGCTCATAGACAAAAGTGTTGTTTCAGTATGAGCACTCACAGCTTTCAGAATAATAGAAGAAATCTTATATGCTCACTTACGTTTTTCTAAACCTCCAGTGTATTTAAGTAAGTATATTTAAATTGGTAAAAATTAGTATATTTAAACTGATAAAAAATATCCACTTGGTAATTCTAGGCCCAGCAGTTAAAATAATACGAAGAAACTGAACCTTGTGAAAAAGCGGTAATCATAACATAAAATCAGAATATACAGATCACTTATTAATTTCTTAGAAATCAATATACCTACACCTAGTTGCTGATTTCTCATGTGCTTCTTTTTAAGTACGATACTGTATGCATTGAGTAGTATTTCCTAGCCACTTTTCTAAACCTAGGTTATTGAATTTAATATAACCTTCAAACAGTTGTATACGCAAACACATGAAATTTAATGTCTAATTCTTTTGACACCTAAAATATTTTGGCAGTAATGATTCTCAATAAGACAATATTAAACTGAATGCGTTTCTAGATGTTTAGTAATTCTTAACAAAATTTTAAGAATTTTAATTAACTTTTGCTTTTTTGAATTATAATTGATTTCTTAAAGTTATCAATACATGTTTCATGTATTAATGAAACGTTTATTAATTTATTAATTCCAGTTAATTATTTTAATGCATGGGCTGGTGGGAAAATGTTATCCAATGAAGAAAATGTATTAAAACTAATCCCTGCTTTAAATATTTCTTTATTAATGATCATTTTTCAATATTTCAGTTGAGACATTTACAGTGGCTGAGTTTGCATTCCAATGACATTGATGAATGGCCAAGTTTACCCTTCAAGCCTAACTTACATAGCGTGTACCTTGGTGACAATCGTATTGCGTATCTGGCAGACGGGGCATTTTCCAACCTCCGAAACCTCACTTTCCTTTCCTTGGATCAAAACTGCCTTGTAGAAATTGAGCGTCATGCTTTTCCACCTTCGTTGCAAACACTGTCTCTTTCCAACAATTTGCTCCTCCAGATCCCTATTACGGCTTTGCAAAACTTGCGCAATCTATCTTGGCTGCAGGTTAGTATCCAAGTAATAAACAGTGATTATGAATTAAAATGATAAATGAATATGAGCATTCTCGTAACATGATCATGATTATAAGGTGTTGAAAAATGCGGTTGAATATATATGCAGATTATTCCAAAAAGCTTTAATTCTTTAGATATTAAACAGTATTTCTAAATATAGTTTCTTAAGATAATGTGAGGATTTTTATTAAACCATGTTCGATATTGTATGTAAAATGGTTCTATAAAAACAAAACGTATTTTTGTATTATCTAGCTAGTGAAAAATGCTCTAATTAGTGAAATGTTAATTACGCTTCAATGAGTTAGAAATGAAACGTTCCATAATTTTGTGGAGGGCATCCTCCAGTGCTTCCAATGAGCCAGTTAAAAAGATTTAAACGAATGTTGTTTTATTTACGACATACTAATTTTTCGCAAAAATGAGCAAGTCATTGTGACTTCTTTTCCTATGTCAGTAAATTCGACTGAAATTGCTTATGTTAGTAAATTCCTTTCTGAAAATATACTTAACTCTTGCCTGTAAAATTGGCAAACTTTGATTCTTTTTTTTTTTTTTTTTGATTAATTAAAGATAATGAATGTTTATTAGCCTAGAATTTGATTTACAGAGACATATGAAGAGATTTCATTTTTAGACAACCTTCTATTTACATCTTTCCTCTAAAATGTTCTACATTATTTTATGAAACATTATAAATGGAAGTCTATATCGGAAACCAATGCTCAAGTAAATAAACCTGTACTCCCTGTATCAAACGCCGTGTTTAGTTTTGCTTGCGCAGGCTAACCACTTAAAAGGAAATAGTATTTATTGCATTAAGCAAAAACTACTTCGAAAGTGTGCTAGGTTACATTGGTGTGCTAGGTTACATTAGTAAACACCAATGTAATAATGCCAATTAAGATCCAACTATAAATTCTTAAATTTATCTCAGAAATTTTTACTGTAACATACGCATAATATGCAGAAACGGTTTTCAAATCCCTTGGTCTGAGCAAAACCTTTTACGGACAACTCTCCTCTCCTATAATTTTTTTTGTAATAAATGCTGTTGATTCAAATTAAATTTCCAGTAAAAGTAATAAATGCTGTTGATTCAATTTTTTGTAATAAATGCTGTTGATTCAAATTAAATTTCCAGTAAAAGTAATAAACGCTGTTGATTCAAATTTTTGTAATAAATACTGTTGATTCAAATTAAATATCCAGTAAAAGTACATTTTATATAACGCGTATGTCTTGAAATAACATTACAATTCAACATTTTCCATTTCAATTTATTTTAATGAAATGTAATACTGCAACTTTGTGCGTTTCATTTTTATGGTTTTACATTAGCACTATAAAATAAAATATTACACAATTTAAACCAGAATCTGAAGTAAACTTAAAAAAACCTAAGTATGCTATCAAAAACATTCTTCCTGATTTTACTACAAGCCTATATTAGGTTGCAAAAATTTGACCAATAACGAAGTATATGATTAAAATGTCTAATTTAAAATTTCTTTTAGAGGGAGGAGGGGGAAACAATTTATTCTGATGTGTTATTATGTATTATTTATTTCCTGCCCATCTTAAAAATAAATTTTGGAATTGGTTAAAAAATCATGTCATCTTACGCCTTATACATAGTAACATAATAATTTCTCTCGCTATAAATCGTCCCATAAACTTAAATGGAAAAGAATGCAATTCTTGATTGCATTTCGTTTCTCAGCAATGAAGTAATACTTAATTTTGTCCCTCCCTACCACGTGCCTTCGTGGTGTAATGGGAAGCACTTCTGCCTAACAGTCGGAGGTCTGGAGTTCAAATCCGAGCTAGGACATTGCACAATTTTCCGGTTACCTGTTTTAGCAAACTTTCCCCTGAATTCATTCGTGTTGTAAGTGATACCACGTGCGGTTAGTAATCAGAAGGACCAAAATTCGGACCTAGCAAAGCCAACGCTGATATTTCGTGTTTTCTTCTTCGAAAAGCCTAATAGACCCTACAAATTAAAATATATATATATATATTGAATAGCATGAAATTTTCAGTTGACATAGGGAATTTAAAAGCATTAAATTTTCCACTCCTCTTTGCAACAGTTTTTTATATCATATAAATTTATGTATAAATACTCACTAATGTTCATAGATTATCCTATTTCTAGATTTTTATTAAAATTAAAAAGTTTCTGCACTCTTTAATCCTTTTAAATGAATGAAATGATGTTTGAAAATATCGCCCCAAAGGAAACTAACTACTACGGGAAAAACCTCATAGTTTCTGAAATTAAATATGTATTATATATATATATATATATATATATATATAAGTAATTGTTTCTATCTATAGTTTAATATTTTATTTTAATCCTTGTTTATATGATCAAAACATAGAAATGAAAAATACATAAAAGTTTGCATATTTTAAGTATTATTGAGGATTTAGAAACTCTGTTTGTCCCTGAGGGAAAGATGGCCTGATAATTTCGCATAGAATGTTTTCGAATCAGTCCCAGTTGATTTACAAAACAATAACTAGTACCAATGTTTTCGTTTTATGGTCTCATATATTACTTTTATGTATGACTTCTTTTTTCCTTTGAAACATCGTGTTCTGAGAAAATGGATCTGAAGTGGAATTGTTTGCTTCAGCTCAGTCAACTGATATCTGCTGCTACACATTTAAAGCTGAAAAACGAAAATAATAGGAATTTGATTAAAATGTCAGACAGCAGCCATGAGGTTTTTTTTTTTTTTTTTTTTTTTTTTTTTTTTTTTTTTTTTTAACAAAGAGCAATCGTTTATTTCACAAAGAGAAATTTCATTTTTAGGAGTTATGTGTGCAGATCGTGTTGGTAACGTTGTTTATTTTCATCGTAACACACAAGGAATTTAGTTTGATGAGGAATATATACACTTCATGTTCTGCAAATATATATCGTAATTGTGAAAAGAATGAATAAAGTTAAACCAAGCCCTAAAAATAGTGATTAGTTAACGGATATTTGGCTCCTTTGAACAATGTAGCTGTCGTTAAGCTTTAAATTGCAGAGGAAAATGTTGCATTTATTAATTAACTTCGTATTCGCCAGATTTAGTGATCTTGTAAATTATTTTCGTTCCTGTAAAGTAAAAGCTTAGTTTATTTTCTACCTCCTTCCAGCATGTCTTCGTGGTGTAATGGTTAGCACACTCGACGCATAATCGAGAGGTCCAGGTTCGAATCCCAGCGAGGGAATTGCTCATTTTTCGTGTTTCCTACTTTAAAAGTATCCTAATAACACTACATTGGCGCACGAACTAAAATGGTCGTGGATTTTGATTTTTTATCAGCAGGATTTGGCGATTGGGTCTCCTAATCCCCAGTCGCCCTTTAAATGGAGGAGTATATATTTTCTATTCTCTTTCCAGCATGCCTTCGTAGTGTAATGGCTAGCAAACTCAGCGCGTATTCGAGAGGTTCAAGTTCGAGTCTTGTCGATGGTATTGTTCATTTTTCATCTACTCCTGCTTCAAAAAATCCAAATGAGTCTGCAACTTTAAAGGATATAATTTTGAAGCATTAAAAAATTCAAAAAAACTGAATTGGAATACGAAAACAATAGTTGGGTTATATGAAAACACGGAGAGATTCTGTGAACATACCGTGAGAAAAACCGCAATTAAAAGAATGCAAGTAACGAGAAAATACCAGTAAAATGTTTTTCTTTAGGTGTTTTTTTACCACGAACTCAGTCTGAAAATTTTATATATAATATTGCAGAAATTATTAGAAATGATCACAGGCTTTTATGAGCAGGAAATATTAGACAATATAATTTGTGATTTCACAAAAAAATCGGTTTAGGAATCTTTGGATTGCTACGTGGATATGCTAACCACTATATAACATGGGAGGGATGCCGTAATTTTTTATGTTATTCATCCCTTTAAAAGTCCCTTGTGGAGAGATACAGCTGGGAAAGTCTGTGTACTGAACTGTTAATTAACAATGTTATATAAGTCTTATAAACATGAAAATTCAATTCTAGCTCCTGTAAAAGATGCTAAGTATATTTAAAGATCTTAGCATGCCATTATTACTAAAAAAAGGTGCTTAGCAGGACAAACACAGAATCTAAAAGCATCGTTGAATACTTGGATTTGGTAACAGTGTACTAATTTAATTATCTTATGTGTTATGTTTTTTACTAAATTTAGAATTAAAAATGCAAAAATAAAGTTTGAATTAATTTGACTTTTTTAGCTTGGCGGAAATCTATTCGAGCAACTTCCAAGACCTTTTCCACTTCCAGTCAAACATCTCCACAAGCTGGATTTAAGTCATAATCTTTTAAAAATTGTCCCACCTATTTTCAAGAATGACACAGAAATAATCATCAAGAACCTCCATCTCGAATTCAATTATATAAATACTTTAGAAAGAGGCGCATTCAAAGGATTAGTCTTAGAAAGGTTGTCTTTATCCAACAATAGGCTGTCTACCATTCCAGATGGAGCCTTTGATGGACTTCAAGAGAATCTCAAAGCCTTGGACCTTAGTCACAACCTTTTAGAGACTTTTCCGAAAGCTTTGAAGGACCTCACAGTTTTGAGTCACCTTTACCTACGAGGAAATGCTATTAAAGAACTCGACCAATACGATCTTAACGAATGTCGTTATGAACTGGAAGTACTAGACCTCTCCGGCAACAGACTGAAAAGGGTGCCACGAGAAGCGTTGCTTATAACTCAAAGAATTTCACGCCTCAGTTTACAAGATAATTCCATTTCAAGTATCAGCAGTAATGACTTTAGTGTTTGGGGACAGTCTTTAACTGCTCTTAATTTAGCTAATAATGCACTAAAGCATATAGCACCAGATGCATTTTTAGGGACCATAAAATTAAGAGAATTGAGACTGTCCTACAATGGTTTGTTGTCCTTAAATCCTGCTGTATTTAAGCCCATAAGATCGACATTAGAAGTTTTAGAAATCGGAAATTTTAATGTACCAACGCTGGACATACTCCAAGGAATGGAGAAAGTAAAGTGGCTGCAAATGGATAATAATAATCTCAGAAAATTATCATCAAAATCATTAGAAGGCATGCCTTCTCTAATTCACTGTGATCTAGAAGGGAACAAGTTACAAAGTGTGCCCCTTGGACTATTTAGGAATAATATCCATATCCGTCTCAACAGTATAGTACTTGCTAACAATGAAATAGAGTCTATAGAGACAGATACCTTTCATAGACTTCCTTTTTTAACCAATATTGTTTTGTTTGGTAACAGACTTAAAATACTCCGTACTCAATCGTTCCGAGATATGCCTATCTTGAACACTGTCATTCTAGCCAAGAATGAGATATTTCACATCGAAAAAGCCACCTTTTCTAATTTAAAAAGTGTGACAAATATTTTCCTTCAAGACAATAACCTCACAGAATTTTCGTTTGATGTTTTTCATCAGGTAGGTGATGCAAAGAACCATGTGTTTCTCAATCTTTCCAACAACAAGATAGAGCAGTTAATAAAAATTCACGAGTACAAAGATGGTGACGTTTACATCAAAGCGCGTAGTCTGGACCTCAGCAATAACTTTATTCTTCACATGGATGGCAATTTCTTGCGCCCAGTAGGTAGTACTTTACATTACTTGATTCTATCTTCCAACCGTATAACTACGATCGATTCTTCCACTTTCCTTCAAGCACCTAATCTTCAAGTTCTTCATCTCGATGGCAATCGATTAACCAATTTGCCAAATGGTGTCTTCCAGAACTGCCTTATGCTTCAAATCATTCATATAAGTCACAATAATATATCAACTGTGTTTTCTGGTGCTTTCCGCAACCTTAGTTCTCTTCGCATTTTGGACCTCAGCTATAACAACATAAAAACTCTTCCAGAAGATGTATTTATAGGTACTAGCTTAGAAAGGCTCAACTTATCGAACAACAATATATTTCATGCTCCAATTCATAGTTTGGCCCATACTAGGTCTACATTAAGGTACCTTGATCTTTCTCAGAACAGGATAGCTACCATTCCAACAAACGGTTTGAATCATCTTCATAATCTTTTGAGTCTGAACCTGTCCTCCAACAAGCTAACGAGCTTATCAGAAGACGCTTTTGGAAAGCTGGTTTATCTCTTGTACTTGGATTTATCGCACAACACTCTCTGGAGGTTAGATGACGAGCCATTCAAAGCTCTTGTTTCTCTTCAAACGTTATTATTGCGAGATACCAGTCTTCCTCATGTTCCCAACTTTCCTCTTCCATCTCTACGCGTACTAGATTTATCGAACAACCTTTTGTGTAACATATCAGATCTTTCTTTCTCAAGTGTGAAGGAACTGAGATATCTGGATCTCTCTCACAACTATTTAAGCGAAGTACCAACACATGTGTGGTCGTCAATCAGCAGATTGACAACCCTTGACATTTCCCATAATCCCATTCAAACGCTATCTATGAATCACTTCAAGAAATTGGAAAGACTCAGAGAATTGGATCTTCGTGGTCTAGATCTAAAATATCTGGATACAAGGATTTTATATAATTTGAGGTGAGTGCTTTTTATTGAATAACAGTTATTTTGTTTGCTTTACTTTTGTATTATTCTAAATATTTTTGCATTAAACTCATAGAACTAGTTTTATCTTGATTTTAGCTGGGGTTAAATCATTAATATACTGCGCGAATGGAAAAATCTTATTCCTCAAAATTACGTTCCTATGGGGAAAATGTATTAAGTACATTAAAATTTAAAAAGTATGTATAATTTAAACGAACATCAATATTGTAGCAATTAAACGAAAAAAAAAAAACGAAACAAATGTTAGTTGAAAGGATTATTACCGCTTAACAATAACACGATAAAATATTTTTTAAAAGATGTTAATTTTTACCTGGGACATGACTAATGCAACAACTATAGGAACGTTTCGCCGGAAGGAGCGTAGAAGTTCTCAGTGCCTCTCATAAGATGCGCTCTGTTTTCTTCATTTGTCTCATTCTCCATTGCAGTCTCGGACAATACCTGTTTAGTGAATTCTAAGAAGGTTAACTTCCTAATTCTTAGGTTTACAAATTCTAGGTTCTAAAATTTAAGGAGAAATGTTTCACTTACCTTTCTTCCTTCTAAAAGTTCGATTCCGGGTGAGCTTGTCTAAAGATAATTTCGGAGATCTATTCATTAAATCTACATCTCAAGAAAGAAAAACCTTTAATTTCAAATAATTCAACGTTAAGATATACAGAAACACTAAATCGAAATTACATCCGACATCTTACATATCTTTTTTTCAAAAACTGCGCATTCTCGTTGCCAAAAGCTAATAACAAAAAAAAAATAAATAAAGTCATAAGATTTCATTGCGCGCCATCTAATGAAAACATAATTGTTTATTAATTTGTTTTATAGTTTTTCTTATAGGCCGTTTTCGACAACCTGTGCCGTTTCTAAAAATGCATAACTTCTTGTAAATTAAAGGCAATTTATCTGCCTCATTACCCTGTCTTCTAGTATTATGAAATCATCCAGTTTCTCAATCGTCATTTGTCGATAAACTCTTTGACTTCTCCTTCTTCCATATCTGAGATTCCTTTCCCGCTAATTGCTTTTGCAGTTTTTGTGATGTCTTTGATTTCATGTTTAGTCGATGGAAATCCTTTAAAACTTGTGATAGCTTCTGGTCAGAGCTGATGTCAGAAAGCATTTCGTGTTAATGAATGAACATTGTATCGCGTATAAATGAAATGCAAATACGTTGCACAAATTAAACGGAAACAATCAAAATAACACTTATATGCGAAACTGCGTTCGGCAAACCCGCGTTTGGCAAGGGTGTATGAGATTCTTATTTCATTATGCCCAAATATGCTTCGCTCCGTAGCTTAGGTAAATAACTAATCTCCAAACAAATGGCAGTGAATCTTCAAACTCTGGTTTCTTGCAATAAATTTGTAAAATGAGTATGTTAATTGTTGCGTATGTTTGTCAAATTTTGTTGCTTGAAGCAGTACACAAAATGTGTCTTAAAACTTTCAGCTGCCCTTATTAAATTTTAAAACAAGGTATTTAACTAATTAAAAAATTGAAAACTTTAACAAAAAGTATGTTAAAATAATAAATTTTCCTTCGTGAACACTTTTTGCTATTACCATTGAGTTACTTAGTTTCTCGTGTCATTGAGTTACATATCTTAAGTGTATGAGTGACATTTTGCGTTAATATATTCTTGCAGTTCGTAATAGGCAAATGGCTAGTATTATTTCAAAACTTTGTTTTCAAGTTCTGAGACGATAAATGTAGAGCCCATAGACAAAATACCCGATGTACACAAATGTTTACAAGCCCGAGAGAAAAGGGCAGTTAATTTAGTGGCCTCTTTCAGATGAACACCCACCTGCAAATTCAAGAAAACGTATTTCTAGCATAATGGTGGTTAACATGTTCTTCAGTCGAACTGTTAAACCATACCGTTAGACGGGATTGTCTTACCGTTATTATCGAATGGTAATGGAAATTATATTATTATCTATATTTAACAAACTTTGGTACTCTCTTCTTTCGAACAAGGAAAACATGTATATGTAATATTAGAACAATTATAGAAGCACCGATATAAGAACATTGAGATGTAAATGTGCGGAAATACTGATGGCGTAGATACTTGATGCTTACAGCGTCCATCCATTTTCATGAAGAAATAATCGAACCGGATTAAATTTCATATTTATTTAAATTAAGATATGTGGCCACAATTCACTTGGCACTCCAATCGTACCTATTTCCAGAACAATTTTGATAGTATCGTGATACAAGCGATCATTACAGCACATAGATGATTGCAGCAAAACGTCTATCCACGAGGAAAGCACAAGCGAAAAGGGAAGAGTGTCGCAGTAGTAATGTAGATGAATAGGGGACGGAGTCGAAACGTGTGTCAGTTCGAGTTAGTTTCGGTTTACAATTATTTTGATTGGGCAAGAGACATCTGCATTAAGCGTTACATAAGGTCACATAATTAATTTGAATGACGCAGTTTAGATTTATAGCGCTATTTTTAAGAGAGATTGATATCAGTCCACAAATTAAATGAAAAACAAAAGAAGTTATAGCCAATGAAAATTAGAAGTTTGCTTTCATATTTTTTGTCTTATACATATATATTACTGTGAAAGACCGAAATTGTCGACATTCTCCAATGAAAGTCAAAATACACCAAGTCGTTTGGTGTATGTCCGAAATATTTGTTTTTAATTGTATTAAGTACTTAAATAACGAATCCGCTTTTTTTCGATTTTCTTTACTGTTGCAGCATATATTGCACAGCTAATTTTATTTGTTCATTGGTGCACGTACCTATTGGTATCAATACACTGAAATGTCTTTATTTCGTTAGAAAGCAAAACCTTTTCTATTAAGGAAGGAACACAAAAAAAAAAAAAAAAAAAAAATCAATTAAAAAATTTCAGCTTAATTTTAAAAATTAATTTTCAAACTTTAGTAAAGTGAGGTCTTACTGTAATATTTCAGATTTCTAACTCATAGACGCTAATGAAATATGAAGCTATGTTAAAGGTTAAACTGGGTAATGCTTCTAAACACCTGTTCTCAATGATAACTTTTGTATTAACAACTAATGTCTCAGTATTCTCAGATTAGCATAGCTTTACATGTGTAAATTTGTTATAACTTTTAAAAGAATAATAAAAACTCAAAATTTGTTATAACTTTAAAAATTAAAAAAAAAATTAAAAAAATTAAAAAATTCAAACTTCTGTAAAAACAAACTGTATACGAAACATAGCCGGTATAACACTACTGTGCTTGAATGTTTCCTAATTACAAGTCACATCGCTAAACCTCTTAACTTAAACGTTTTCGTACCTAAGATACATCAGTATGAGTAGAAAGCTTCCTCCTTAGCGCAGATTTATATTTGCATCTGTTCGCTGCGACATACGATTTTTGCGATTTGGGTCGACAGGAAATAAAACGTGTGGATGGAATTTTGTTTTTTGTCTCGAAATCTACAGCTGAGATCAATATTATACTTCGACAAACTGTTAAAGATGATGCTTTGAGTATATCACAAGTGTTATGTAGAGAAATTATCTGATAGCGTTATAAAAAAAAATTAGGTGAATGATTTTATGATTTATGGAAATTTAAATTTTATTTTGATTCTGAATTATTTAATTTAAGGCTTTAATTTTTGGGGAGAAACAGATGCTTCTGGAAATATTTTAGTTTAAAGAGTATTATTATTTTCCTCTATTGTAAATCTTGTACAAACTTTTATTCATTGTGAAAGAAGCAGGGAAAGGGAGGCAATTTTCGCCAAGTCATGATTTCGCGCGCTTTAGAATGTTCGAGAAAGAATTTTCATTGTTAGTTGACCTTAAGAGAAGAAAGTACGTGACGGAAAGGTCAAAGGTTGCTACTTGTCTTTCAATGTAAGTCATTCAGGTTTTTGGCGATTGAGGGTCCGGTTGTTGGCTAAGTGAAGAAGGGCGCGCATGCGCGATCGCCCTTATTTCCGCATTCTGGAGTTGAAAACGAAGATTTTGCCATAATTAAGGGGGCGATAAGTGAAGCCATAGTGGGAGCCCGTTTGGTGAAGGAGAAGAAGGAAATTTGAGTTGGACACACTTACTTTTGGCTGACTCTCGGACTGACTCGCTGATTTTCGGGCTTGCTGGACAAAATGTAATTACGAAGCGGGATGTTTGCCGGCGGGGAGCGGCAAATATGCTCCCCGGCCGCGTTTGGTTAAGAGGCGAGACACACTTACTCTTGACTCGCTTAGGCACTCACTGCTTGGATTCGCTGACTTTCGGGCTTGACGGACTTGTTGACGGAGACTGAGAAAAAACTTGTGGGTGTTGCGAAGGAGAAAGGAAAAGATTTAGTCGGCATCGAGCCGTGCTTCCGGCGGGGAGCGGCAATTATGCTCCCCAGCCGCGGGTTTTCTCAAAAATGCGAGAAAAAAAAAAAAAAAAAAAAAAAAAAAAAAAAAAAAAAAAACTGTTGAGCGAATAACAAAAAAAATTAACAGAGACTTGGGTCTCTATCTGTATCGGCAAAAGTCAGGACGATGTCCTCTGAACTCCGACTTGAAAACAGAAGGAATTATGTCACCTTAGTCAACTGGAAGCCTGCGTTAGCCGTTTCTCTAAAATGCCTAGCTTAATTGTCTACGTTTTCCTTGGTGGAGCTGAGAGTCTAGGCAGACAGCCGTGCGGTGCTGTAAGCTGTTCCTCTTGCTTCCAGTGGGAATATTTTTCTTCTATGGAAACCAGTAGCAGGCGTAAGAATTTGACGGTGTAGCTGATGTAATTTATTGTCGTGCCGTTCGAGTCTCTGTCTTGCGGATTTGCCAAGTGACGTAAGGATAGAGCTAAGATATGAGCTCTCCTCCACTTCAAGATGGCCACTCAAGATAAGTATTTTTTTTTTGTTTTGTTTGAACTTTAAATCCTCTCACGAAACTTTTTCTATATAACATTGGTGCCGTGACAGAAACTTTCTTCATAACACAAGTGTAGTTTCCGATTAAACTGTCGACAGTCTGTTAATGAAGATTGTAGAAAGAATATTCAGCAGATTTCTAAATAAAAGAGTGCCATGGTTTTTTGGTTTCAAAGGCTATAAGAAAGTTGTCAGAGAGGAATATTAACTGGATAAGAAAGGCAATTTAATTACATGGATGACTTTCAAAAAAATATGTAGAGTGCCTCAAATCCCTACTAACAGTTCTAGAAACCATTCCATGTTTCTATTAACAGCAGAAAAACATTGGAAATTATATCGATGCTGGTGAAATATCTGATGAAGATGGCTAAATTATGTAAATACAACATAATTGCTTCAAAATAATTCCCGTTATCTTGCTGCAACTCTCGTAATTAACTAAGTTTATGAAGTTAATAACAAATTTCTATATAGAAAATTTAGAAATTCCTTTTCACGCAAGAAATTAAAAATCAACACAATGATACGTGATTTCTTTAGTTACAACTACTATCAGGTCGTATTCTTTTAAAAAGCAGCATCTTAAGGTTTTATTGACTATAATAAAATGATTAACTATATTTCATCATATATTTAATCATTTTATTATAGATCATACTTCTAAATTTTTATAAATGCCTGGATGATTTTTGGCTTTCAGTGTTGATTTAGATGAAGCCATTAAAAATCATCTTGTGTATGCAAAACAAATATGGTTTTAAATTATTGTAATTTACTTAAAAAGTACTGATTAAGCAATTACTAATAATTAAATTACTATTAATAAAGTGTATGTTCACGTATAATGTAAAAGTATATTTCTGACACATAATATTTAATAATACGTGTATTTGATGATTTTGTTTTACATAGATTCTTAACAACATTCAAGACCAGTACCTATGCAGGTTTACGCTCCTTTCGCTTGCAGAACCTACTATCGAAGTCTTGCAGTCTTCGGCGTGTCCTCGTTGAAGTGGAAGAAACTAACCTCTCTCACCAACTTCAGTTTACATTCGGCACTAAGCTCCGAGAACTAACAATTACTGGACGCAATCTTCAGTACATATTGCCAGACGCATTTCAAGGACTTCGCACACATGAACTTGTGCTTAGAATAACTGGTACTAGTATCAGCAGACTTCCGAAAGGTTTTCTGAAGTATCTTGCTGATATCCGGTACTTAACGTTGGACGTCCGAGGCAATTACCTTACTACCATGGATGAAGAAGTGCTAAGTCCAGCAAGCAAGTTCAGATCAGAGATCCTAACCACGCAACATATTTCAGGTCAGTTGAATTTACAAGGCAAAATGTTTAGGCTTTAATATAAAGAAGCTTATTGTAATGTTGTTGTGAAATCATAACATTAAATTTGTTTAAAATATGTAAGATAATGAAAAATAAACATATGGTTAGCCGGCGATGCATAACGAACAATATATTGACGCTTTTTGGCAGTGAAATATATTTTAGACGTTAGCAGATTGATGAAACACGTTTTGAGATTTCTGGGCGGGTAGAAAGTTGTTATATCGCGAATTTTAATTATATTAATATGTGTTTTAAGTTATCATTATTCTTGTATATTTATTTGTACTCATGCATATTTTAATCTAGAAAAAAAGTATTCTCAAGTTGTTAAAAGCCTTATTTAGCTGGTAGTTCTTGAAACTGTTGGTGTAACAAAGACAGATTATCTGGTTTATGGCCTTTTGCTAACAGTGATAGCAGTTGGGGTGTTGTCGCTTTCTTCGCTGGTGGCCTTTTTACTAACGGCGTTGAAACGAAAATCGTAAATCGTCTTTCTCATTTCTCACTTGCTTTCTATACCATTGTGAAAACTTGAATATCTCGTTTCAAGATCGATCATTTCACTGTTAAAAATGAGGCCGGGAGTGGAAGCCCTGAAACCGTAACTTAAATTGCAACATGGGATATTCTCCATCAGTGATTCTTCAGTACTGACGAATATCCACCGAAAAGATTGCTCAGACACTAGAAAACTTCCAGAAACATGTGGGGTTTACTGTTACCACGATCCCAAACATGCGCAAGCTTTTGGTGAAGTGGATGCTAAAATGTTTGAACAATGATCAGCGGAAGAAATGAACTGAGGCATCGAAAGCGGATTTGGTCTACTTTGAAGCTATATAGGCCTTTTTGGCGAGGTTAGTGCCTGAGGATGAAACCTGGTTTCACATTTATGATTCTAAAAGTAAGGAACAGTTAAACAAATGGCGTGACAGCCGGTCGCCACACCCAAAGAAGTTGCTAATTCAGCCTAAAAGAACATGAAGCCCTCTTTCTGGGGCAGCAACGTCATTCTGATGGCTGACTACCTACCTCAAGGATTTAGTATAACCGGAAAATATTCATATAAATTTCTGGACAAATTAAACGAAGGTAATTAAAAAGAAACGCCGAGGGAATTTGACCAAAGGAATCCTTCAATTGCATGACAATACACCTGCAGCCGATTCCAAGGTTGTAGTTCTCAAACTGAAGTCTGGGCTTCCAGCTGGTCAACTATCCACTCTACTCACGAGACCTAAATTCCTTCGGATTATTATCTGTTTCCGAACTTGAAGAAATATCTGAAGGCTCATCATTTTGAGAATTTTTAATAATGTTAAAGAGACTGCTGACAGTTGGTTTCGGGACCGATCTAAGAATTTTTAATTAAACAAACTCTAAAAGCTTTAACAACGACGTAACAAATGCATCAGTCTCAGAGACAACAATGTAGAATTAATGGGTAATTTTATAACTCTCTTTCTCATTCTCCGAGGCAAAGCCATGAACTTGTCATGTCCCCTGTAATCTTATGTGAAAGTATATCTTTTGGGGAGAGTTTTTCTTAAATAATTAAAGAAATGACTAATAGTATCAGTTTTTATAAGCGTTGCCATTCATGAGGATGGTTTAAAAGGAAACATATATTTATTTTTGAAGATGGGCTTTCAGATAGAGTAGGCTAAATGTCGTACATATTTTACAACATTGGCCAAATGGTCTAAACATTTGTTTACCTTAACTGAAGCAAATGCAGGTGAACTCGTACTCATATAATGGTCGTTTTATGTATTTGTCACAGCTAAACGGAAACAAAAAGAAAAACTTAAATCTATTTAAAAGAAACGTAACTCTCTTTAACTTTTTAAGAATTTCTCTTTTTATGATCAACTTCAAACGATAATCGGTGAAAAAAATTTTAATGAAAGTTATATTAATATAAATTTAAACTCATTAACTGGCATGTAAAGGTGTTTTAGAAAATTGTGAACAAAAATACATAAATGACAGCTGATAATGCTTCTTTTTAAATGTTTCAGAAATATGTAATTTCTTAAAAATATGATTCAGTGGTCATAAAATACTTTGTTACAGTATCGTCTATTTATATGTAATCTAGCTTAGAACTTCTTCGTGAATAAATTATATGCAAATACAAGAAGAATAAGTACATTATATGGAAATAAATATTTACTTATGTCCAATGATTTACGTAATTATTCAGTTACGAACTCCATTATAAAATTTTTATAATATTACTGGATATAAGAGTGATGAATGGGGAAATATTTGTTACTTAAAAGGTTTAAAAGTTTCGTTGTGGAATTAACATTAAAAATATGGCTATGTTCATTTAATAACTACGTCTTTATGTGTAACATTGTGTCCAGTCTAGATTCAAGATTATTCTTAGACAAAATCGTGAGATTATGCTAAACTATGAATAGAGTTGCTGCTTGGTTTAGTCCTTTTGAGATTTAAAACATATTGTAGATTCGGCAGTTTTGCGTACTACATACGTAAGCTTTTAAAAAGGCCACTCTTAGTGTTAGGCATTTGTAAACTAATTCAAAGTTAGATCCTTAGTTAGAATTTTAGTTAGTAGTTTTATATTTTTACGTCCAGAACACAAGCGGTTGGTCTCTGTATCCCGAAATACGGGAGCTCCTGTAATCTTATAGAGAATGAAGGGTTCAGTACACCCTTCCTGCTGGTATTGTCCATTCCACAAATTTGAACATAGCTTGAGTAAGTTCCCTGTTCCTATTCAGGACATGTAATATTGCCAAAGCACATCAAAAGACATACTAGTCCTGACAATCAAACAAACCAAACCAAACCAGATTTGAAGTGCTAGAAGACAACAATTACTCACCGAGTCTGCTAATTTATCCTCTTGTATCATGTAGACAATCATAGTTACTCAATGGAAAATTTGGAATTATGCTGCACCTTATAAGCTATTGTCTCCCTCCTTGCCACATGCATTTGTGGGGTGACTAGAAGCATGCTCAATGTTTTATTTGGGAGGTCCGGAGTTCGAATTATGGCTAGCACATTGAACATTTTTCAGTTTCCTGACTCCGAAAAAGTTCGAATCATTCTAAAAACTTCTTATTTTGCAAGACATTTCGGAGAACCTCTACCACTTTCTACAAATGACATTTCATTCGCATTCTGTATCGACGGAATAACAAACGTGGCGAACATGAGTAGTAATCCGCAGCCTAAGTCTGATTTCTTGCGAAATTTATCTGAAAGACATGCAAAAGATCGTGTAATAAAGAAAATAATACAGCTTGGAGGAAGTACATGTAGCAGTTTCCATGTGTTCTATAATGTTTCACGAAACTCTTTGCAGCCTACAGCAGCAAAAGTGCCTATTCTAAAATTATTGGAACTTATGCAGAGTTTTAAAATTGCGCCAAACAAAAAAAAAACCTCAAAGAATGGAGCGTATAATTCCAGTTGGAACATTATCGGTTAATAAATACAATTGTTAAAATCCTTTAAAATGAAGAATTGATTTACGCTGACGATATAGGATATATTAAATGTATCAATGTTATTATTGTTTTAGGTGGTGTTCTCCTAGAAGACAACCCATGGGTTTGTGGTTGCAGCTTGGTTTGGCTTGGAGGATGGATCCGTCGCTGGATGCGTGAAACGCTGCGAGTGCAAATGTTACATTTCGATGGATTTCTCTATGCTCAGAATCTTGCTCGTCGAACAATCTGCACTATGCCTGGAACAAATGTGACTGTTGCCTTGGTGGACTTTGACCCGTCAGACTTCGGTTGCAAGCAGGGGTCAGAAAATAACGCTTCCGCAATGACGTCCTTCCGAGACGTCTATTTTTGGCTGCTCAAAACTGCTAGCATCTTGATGACGCAGTGGTGTTACACTTATTATTATGTAGTGAACTCATACGATTCCTTAAGGACTTCATAGTGATAAATGTTTATAGAAGTTAGCCAATAAATCCGATGACGATTGGACAGGACCTGAATAAATTGGCTAGTTAGACTATTTATTAGAGCAAATGCATACAGTGCTGAAGCTTTGATATTTAAAAAAAAATATATGTATATTAACTTTTTGTTACAGTATATTTGTTCATTGAAATTTATGTATGTGTTTCTTTCCTTTTTCATAAAGCTGTATATCATGTCTTATTTAAAACTGGCAGCTTTCACTTTACACTGACAACAATATGAATAGTTGCAATGGTAATGCGTAGTTTGTGGCAATAAATCTTGAAATATTTTGATTACTTTATTATCTGGAAATCTAAAAATTAATACAGTGAATCAAATAGCTATAAGAAATACGAGAGAAATGTTAATCAATGTTATAATGTACAGAATATATGCGTCGAATCTATAGGTATTTGCAAAATCAATACTGTTATATCATACCAGCTTGGAAAAGTTTAATATCAAAAGAATGCTGACTATACGTGTTTTATGTATCCACAGAAATTATGTTATTTAGTTAAATTTACATACAGCATATCATTCTGAAACAAATTTTTATTCTTCATTAAATGAATATTTCCTTAAAATTAAAATTTTTAACCTGATAAAGATATTGTTATTATTTATTTATTATATCTTGTACAAAAATCTTTCTCTTATTGCCATAAAAGAAACATAAACTTATTCATAAAGAATCTTGCTGATAACTTTAATTCCTCGAGATCAAAAACTTTAAATTAATTTTTAATAAGAGTTTTAAGTTTTTCTGTACATAAATGCATATAACGCTTAACCAATATTTAAAATATTTTATTGGCTATTTTATCCTTGTGCTAGTACTAAATATGCATTTAGTACAGCCAACTTGTTTTTTTTTTTTAATTCAAATGGCATAATTATTTTGATTGAAGAACTGAATTCTTCTGTTTAGAGATACGCCATATATATGGTGTTTTTTTACTGCAATATTACTACAAGAGTTCATAAACTGTGTGAACTGAAATAAAAAAGTAAATAAATGAATAAAATAAAATAAAAAATAAGTACAAAATCTAACTAAAAGTAAAAGTATTTTATATATTATTTTCATATATTATTAAATAGCGAAAAGATCTAAATATAGTAAAACGTTAGTTTATTACTTTTAAATCAATTAATTTGATAAGAAATATATTGTTTAAGGTTATATTAGAGATCCTATGGAATGTTGAATGACAAAACTTTGAAAGCGAGTTACTTTTAAGTCTGCATAGAAGATAAAGATCTTAATCTTCACACAGTGGCATTTTCAAATCCATTGATGACAAGCTTAACTAATATTCAAAAGGCTCAGGTAAAGATATTTCTAGCATCAGTATATCAACTTTGTACTTAAATGCCATACGCATTTTAGGAACTTTGAATATCCTTTTTAGTTCATACTTTGAAATTCAGAGTTTTTAATTATACATGCATTATTTTTGATAAAGATACTCCAAAATGACGTAAGAGATTTTTTACGTTACATAATCCTATGCTTTTTTATGTAATTTACAACTTTTTTAATTAAATAAATTAATAAATAAATTATAACTAAAGAATTTTTTATTGACTCATAAATTTCTCATGAAGAGAGTCATAAATTTACACTTGCTACCTTATTACATTTAAAAGCTGTTTACAAAGCAAACAAGTACCTCACACTTCAGAATAAAATTAACTAATTAATTAAAATTGATAGGTAGCATAATAGCTGATTTTTTTTAATATAATAGCTGTAGATTTGTTTCCTTTCTACAAAAGTTTATCCTTTTATTTTATAAATGTTTCTTTTATATGCTGTGTGTCTGTTTACAAAACTTTAAAAATATATATTATTTTTTATTAACACGTGAAGAAAAAATTTTACAAACTTTGCCTAATCGCATATTTAAATACCAAAATGTCAAAATGGTGGGAAAATATTAAAATGAAATTAAATACATGATATCAAATTATGCTATGCATGTGCATTTTATGAACAATCTGTATATCGGAAAAATCTTGACTTTTAAATTTTAATTCCCTTTTCAAATCTGTATTTATAGTCCATTTATTAACTTTCGATTCATTTCAGATTAATATTTAATTTAATTTATACGAACTTTATTTATATTATATAATAAGTAATGTTTCGGATTGTATCAAAAAATAAAATTTTTTATTGAATTTACCTACAAACCGTTTTAAAATCAATGTAACCGAACTTCACTATAAGCACTTCAACCGTAAAATTAATTTAAAAGAAATTTTAAGTAAAGACTAAATTTTAGTTATTTTTAATGCAGCAGAAAGAGGTCAACAGAGAAGAAACACACGCCAAAGCAAAATTTAAAATTAGGCAAAATCTATCGTTTGACGTAGATTTTAATGACTTTTTTTTTTTTCATAAATACCGTCGTTGTTCCTCCCTTCTTTGCAGACAGTTTTTATTCCTGATGAAGAAGAACTTGTATCTGTTCGCCCTCGAAATCTATAGTGTTTCAATTAAAGTTTACGCCCAACACAAGGTTGCTATTTTGCCTAATTTATAACTTTAACAAAAAGATTCTTTTCGTACGAACTTGTCAGTTTCGTTCTTAAAAACCCATATATATATGAAACAATTTCAGTATTTTGTAATAAAATATGAATTAATATGAAACATAATTTATTTTAAAAGTAATTCACACATAAACTTATGCTGCAAAATTTCCTAAAAGGGTGCATAATTTATCGAAGCTATTTGTTATTAAAATGCGTCAGACATATAATGGTTTTCGTTATTTTGATATTCTGTTAACAGCTGCATATTTCTGAAACTAGTACCTTCTAAAACTGCATAAAACTGCCTAATCATCTTTTACATTCTTGAATAACATAAGCCAGCGCACTGAAAATATTAATTCCATGAGTATATACTTAATCAGTTCTTTAATACGTGGCTAAATTTCAAATCCATAATAAGTGACAGAAATTTAAGATAATGAATATTGAAAACGGATTAACGCATAATGGAATATGCCTCTCTAATAGGCAGTCGTTAATAATTAAGACCAATTTGTTTAAAGAAGGTACCGAATAGCTAGAAAATTCTCCTCGTGTCGTCGTCGTATATATTTTTCTCGTGATTTAGTGTCAAAATGTAATATATGAGTGTTAAGAACAAACTTTTCTCAGCGATACGCCATAATGATATGCAAAACAAAATTTTGTTTTGTTAGGTTTTCGGTGATGTTCATGCATAATAAACTCTGTGCCTCTTTAGATTTATATATGAGTAGGAAGAGAAAGTTAGAAGAGATTTATTAATAAATGTATGTAAATATTCGCCACACAAAGTGTTGAGACGAAGTGTTTAATGTTTCATTAAGAAATTCTGCTCATGATGCAGAAACATTCTAAAATTTCAATTTAACACTGCAAGCCTAGTTTGGGAAATTAAAGTAGGGACAGAAGTAAGTCCGAATTTATATCGTTGTGGTTTAATATAAGCGCTAACTCAACTACCTGGATAGTGTCTAATATACTATTTTTAATTAAAGGGATATGTACCATTAACACTGGTATCTTCATTAGTATTTATGTATCTTTGTTTTAACTCAAAATGACTCAAAATATATCATCTTTAAAAGAATATTTCTGCATTTTCTACTTTAAATGTTATGCGTTTAAACTATAAGGGTTAAAAATAATTCTAAAAACATTTAATTTAAAACTAACTGTCCAAAAATTTCGGACAAGGAGAGCTGAAGCCATTTACAACACAAATGTATCAACAACACTCACTTATTTTAAAAACCTTTAATATCCTTTTCAATGTATATATGAAATTAAGAAATTTGGGTAAAGGTGATTAAAAATTAAAGTAGAAAGCATGTTTTTATCACAATGTACTTATATATGTTTATACCAAATTATATTGCATTCTATGAAATATAAATTAAAATATATGAGTTTATACGGATGCAAATATTTCTTTAGAGAAATACCATAAATGCACAGTTTTATTGAATTAATATTTGTAAAAAATATTTCCAAGGCAAAACATATATTTCGCACAACGTAACGTGATTGCCAAATAATGTTAAAAAAATCCTAAGCGTCATTCCTAAATATAATCAAAGTCTCTGTGATTAGTTACATTTCCATAAAAGACATGCAGCTCCGTGCGGAAATTTTGGAAGTTTTCACTTCAAATCATGAATTCGTGATCTTTCTAGACCAAAGTAGAGTACGCTACGTGTTCCTCACTCAAAATCCACACACATTTATAATAATTTAAAACAATACACGATTCCATTATTCGTGGCTGTATTGAAAATAACAACACCGTTTTGCACAGGATCCTTTAGAAGGTAAGTGAGTTGGACCACAAAGCGTTGGTTTTCCTTCTTAATGTCCAACTTCGTAGCGTTCGGGAAACAGAACACCTTACTCGAATTTTAGTAGTACCTGAAAAGTTTGATACCATTCTCTTCTAGTCACTTCACAGTTTGTTCCATCTGACAGTAGCAGAAAATGGTCTCCAGTAGTTTTATTGGCCTTTGAAAAGATATTAATTAGCAGCTTTACTATCTAAAAGGTTCACTAAGTCCTTGATATGACATTTTGAGGGATATTCAAATTTTGAACAACCTCCATTTGTGTCCCCCTCTTTGAGTCTACGTATTAACCTCCGGGTTTGCTCTTTGCTTTAATTGATGGCTTTTATAACTAATCAATGCTGATTACTTTCTAAAAGCCCCATTAAATTGCCTTATGCATCCTAATTCCAACCTGTATCTATCGTATAACACATTATCAATCGTCTGATTTGCATATTTCATGCGTTAAACTGTACGCAGAAATCTTATTTTGCATTCATTTGCAGATAATTAACGTAAATAATTACGCTATTGAATATTGGTTGAAAACTTTAACCAGTGAGAATATTTTTCTCAATTATCTTTAAATTTCCGCAAGCAGTGTGCTATAAACAGTTTATATGTACCATTTTCAAGCATTTTAAAAAGCTCATTTGGTCTACGTAAGGTACGTAAGGCAGTTATTCAAAGTTCTCTTTTTCTACCATTTTGTTTTCTCCTTACTTCGCGATGGACATATTGTCAATTTTTGTTTGCATTACTCTTATGTTTCGTTAGAAGTCAATGCGAAACAGATTAGTGGCTGTATACCGGATTTATTTTCAAGATTGAAGAAATTAGTTTTAACGGATGATTTTACAATGTTTGTATACTTTGCATTTCATACACTTAAATTACACACAGCTGTGTATGAAAATAACTCTCAGATACTATGACATTATTTGATATCATTGCTATTATGTTTTTCTTTTCATTTTTGTACTTTTTATACATAGGTTTAGTTTATGTTGATGTTCATGATGATAATTTTTCCACCGAACACTGTATAATTGGAAGTTGATTGTACTACTTTTTAGTTTCATATTTTTAAAATCTCGTTCATAGCAATATATTACATAAATTCGGTAATTTTCCACTTTCAGAAAACTTCTTCTAATGCGCAGTTCAAAGTCGTAAAATAATAAAATTTCCTTTAGTATGCACTGCAATGCTTTTTATTTAAATCTTCTCTTTTTAATAATATAAGAATATCGAATTTTCATTGGTGCAGTAACAGAATAAACCTAAATACTTAAAGGAATAAGCGAAAAGTAAA